CCTTCTAGGGATTTCTTGAATAATTAACACAAGTGCATTCTTGGAAGACCTTAACTTTCTTCAAAGCCAAATAGAATAATACAGCTAATGGGAAAGATGAAGATAGACCCCAAATCTGTAGATTTTGGAAACAAAAGCATTAATAAACCTTAATACAAAAGAGTTGTTATTTGTTGTTAGGGATTGTTGTCAGTTCTGACTCTTATATGTACTTGGTCATGCACCGTCATATATTGTGTGTGAGCCCATTCTTCATCATTAGATGCTTGCTTGTTTGATCTTCGAGTTCCCCATGGACTCCGTCAGTATTGCAACTGGAGACTTAAATGTTCTCTTTAGTTCCTTCAGCTTGAGAAGTAAACAGGCTTAGTCTTCCCCTTTGTTTTTCTAACTCCACGTTTGATTATGTGTTTGATCAATACTTTATAATTGATAGTCTTCTGAGGTGCCCTTTGAAATCTTTTGTTCAGCTCTGTTACTTTATCATTTCTTCCACTCACTTTAGCTATTGCATATGCAACAGTCTCAGAGTCTCTTCTGACATCCATTTTGGCTTTTTTCTTTCTTTTTAGTAAGGTTTTTGCTTTCTTTGTGTGTGGTATCCTTGCTTGCATTTATCAGTGCCTCTGATCTTTGGTTATTAGTATTCAGTGGATTAAATATTTTTTTAGATGATCTCAAAATCTAGGGTAGATACATTTTTGGCTGTACTTTGTCGCTCATGGACTGACTTTGATTTTCTTCGGCTCCAGCTTACACTTGGACGTGAGGAATTGATGGTCTAGTTTGCAGTTATTTGTTGGTCTCATTTTGAACGATGCTATTGAGCTTTTTCACCGTCTCTTCCTGCAGTTGTGGTCACTTTTATTTCTGTGTGTTCCATCTGGGGAGGCCCCTATGTCTAGGGGTGCTGAGTATTTTTTTATAAAGATTCATACAATAAATCAGTTGATCATATGGAAGTCTATCATGTCATCTTTGGCCTCATTTATTTCTAACATTTGCATTCTAATCACCAGTAATTCTGAGTGCGTTTTGATTGCATGTTTTATCAGTTTAAGACTGTGCAACTAGGTAAAAATCTTTATCCTTGGCATTAGTGTTTGGTATATGACACTGATGTGTCAGATGCGTTAATGGTTGGCTACCCAATGTGGACAGAGAGTGGGATGGTGCTCCCCGATTAAAACAAGCTTGGAAGGAGGAGTGGCATCCAGTTCCACAATAGCTTGCCTCTGGAAACCCTATGAACCCGGAGAGAGGATGAAAGGCACCCAAGCGTTGAGGACTCTCCTTCATAGGGTCGCTATGAGTGGCCTGCGACTCGATGGCACCTAACAACAGCAACAACATATAAATGTCAGGAATACAAGATCTTCCTTATAGGCATATGGATATTATCCTGTCACTGCTAGTGTACTTCAGGTAGATCTGAAAATGGTGTGTGGGTGGGGTTTTGTTTGTTTGTTTTTTTTACAGTGAGTCTGATGCCATTTTTCTTCAGTTTATCACTGTTCCCATAGCAGACCATAGATATCATTGTCCAATTCACAGTGACCAGTACCACTCCATATCAGCTCACAGTCAACAACGTTGGCACCAGCAGTTAGGAAATCAAAAGCCATGTTGCACTGGGGAAGTGTGAAGTTGAGAACCTTTCCAAAGAACTGATGAGCAAGGATTTCTGTCTGAAGACCAGGGTGTGCCTCACTGAGCCATGATCTTTTCAGTCACTTGCTTTGCATCTGAGAGTTGGACAGTGAATAAACATGACAGAAGACTTGATGCCTTTGAGTTGTGCTGGAGAAGAATGCTCGGTATCCAAGAGAACAAACAATTCGGTCTTGGAGAGGATGCAGCCAGGGTGCTCCTTAGAGGAAGGGTACTGAAACATCATCTTACATACTTTGGACACATGCTTAGGAGGGGCCAGTGTTCGAACAGGACATCATGCTTGGAAAAGTGGATGGTCAGGGAAGGAAGGGAAAACCCTAAGCAAGATGAATTGGCACAGTGACTGAGAGGATGAGGCTGGCACAGGATAGCAAGGGCTCAAATCCATCATCTGTTGGGCCATTGTAAGTCATAGTCAACTCGACAGCCCCTAACAACAGTGCCTACAAGAATGAACTTGATGTGTTCCACTTCTTTTCTGATGACATATAATTTTCCCAGATTCATAACTCACATTTTTAGTTAATAGTGGTAATTTGCAGCTTTTCCTTCTCATTTTGAGTCCTGTCAAATCAGTGAATGAAGGTCTTGAAAGCTTTACTCACATGATGTCATTAAGGTCGACTCTCCTGTGAGGAGACGGCTCTCCTCATTTGTATTTTGAGTGCCTTCTGACCTGAGAAGCTCACCTTCCAGCACCGTATCAGACAAGTGTTCCACTGCCCTTCTTGAGACCTTTCACACAGTGTTTCCTTTTTGATGATGTCAGTTAGTTCTCCCAAGTCTGTCTTAGCTAGAAGCTCTGCTGGAGCCTGTTCTCTCAGAGGTGACCCTGCTGGTATTTGATATTCATGGCACAGCCAACATCACATCCACTTCCAAGAGAGCATTGACAGTGTAAAATACAAAGAGCTATTGTGTACTGTCAAGTTGGAACCAACCCATAGCTGACCCTCCTGGAGGTTGTCCACGGCAGTAGACCGCACAGGAGTAGACTGCCCATCTTTTGCGGAGCAGCTGGTAGATTTGAACTGCCTATCCTTGCTTTGGCAATGCTATTTTTTACCCTGAGCCACCAGAACTCACAATAGAGTAGCCACCATCAGTTTCCTTGACACTTGGGGCCAGCATCACATGTGACCATTTGCAGCTGTCAACACTGGGACTTTTGCGATAATGTAGGTCTTTGATTACATTGTCACTTCTATCAAAATTAAAAATCTAAATATAGATGTCATCTTTTTTGTGGGTTTTTTAAAAACAATAAATGGCAGTCTTTTTCTACCATATGTACACTCTGTTTTGCCAAAATGTAGTGGGACAAACAGTCGTCATGAAGCCAGCGAGTTTTAGGTTTTCATACCTCGCTCTACTTTGAACTGTGTGAAAGTGTGCCCTGGACCGCTTCAGAACACAAAGGGGCTGGGGGGAAGTGGTGTACGCACTGTTGTTCCTTCCGCATTTGGTCGACATCCTTCTCCATTTCATCCGTAGTGTACGTGCTGATTCAGAATAATGAAGCAGACGTCGTAGCACAACAGACATTATGTGGGCAACGTGTTGTTTATAGACTGTCTAAATAATGCTTCACCCATGTGTACTGTTTTCCAAATATGTGTAGATGCTCTTGTGAATTAATAATGAACATGAATTCTTGCAGCAGTGCCACTGACTTCGTGATAGCTTTCCAGCATTATCCTCCTAAATCACAAACTCCTAAAATTTCTGGAAAGAAATAGAAAGTGTTGATTTGCAGTAAATGCAGTATCCTAGAGCTCACCAGAAGATTTTTTTTTCTTTTATTGGGAAAAACATATTGGGGGTACAAGGAGTTGATGGTTGGGGGCAGAAAGAAGGGTGAGGATGGGCCAGGATGCAGTTGCAGAGCTGCACAGTTTGGTCAGTGGGGACTAGAAGATTTTTAAAGCAATTTATTGGCAGTCAGGGAAAAAATGGTGTTATTGGTATTTTTTTTTATTATTTATTAGTTATATCACTCATTAAAATTATTATTTTATCATTGTGCGAATTCCGTGTTCTTGGAAATAATAGACCTCTGGTGGCCTAGTGACAGGAAGCTACGCTGCAATCCCAAAGGCACGTAGTTCGAGGCTACCAACTGCTCTGTGGGAGAGAAGGATGGGCATTCTCCTCCCGTGCAGTTAACTGCCCCTGAAAACCTGCCAGAGCGTCAGCTGTGGTTCACTTCTGACTCTTGTACACATCAACAACAACAGCACTGGAGATAATACTATTGTTGATAACTCTGTTGTATTAGGTACTGTGCTGAGTGTTGTATATGGTTATTTACTCTTTCTTTGAGTGACTGTTATTCCCACTTACAGGTAAGGAAATGGGAGCTGAATAACTTTCTCAAGACCACAAAGCTAGTTAGGAGCAGAATGGGGATTGGCATCCGGCTTTCTGATCCTGAATTTTAAATTTATGTCTTTCCCACTGATAACACTTGTTTTATGAGCTCATGTTGTTGTGCCAACCCTTTGTATCACATAACGTTTCCAGGTCCCCAGCCATCTTCACAACGGTTGGTACGTTTGAGTCCATTGTTACGTACTCTTAAATAGCACCAAGCAAAGTTCCATTATTTGAAAATATTTGACTTGATTTTACCTTTAATTGAAACACCACAAACAAATCGGTAAATCTTGGGAAGAGTGCAGTCAGAGCGCTGCTTGGAGTCCGAGACGGCGAAGCCTCATCTCTCCTATTTTGGGATGTTGCTCAGAGGGGCTCTTCTTTGGAGGGGAACATTGTGCTTGAAAAGGCAGAGGGTCGGCAAAGAGAGAGGACGATCCTCAACTGGTTGGATTGCTCAGTGACTGCAGCACTGGGCTCAGGCATGCCGGATGATGAGGATGGCACAGGAGATGACAGGGTTCAGGGCGGTTATTCATAGTGACACTCGACTTGATGACACCTAACAACAACATTATTAATGGGAATTAGAAATATCAGGTAAGTTATATTGATGGCTTGTCCTCACCTTTGACTGTTGGGTTGGGAAACCTACATGGAAATGGGATTCCGTCAGCTGTCATGAACGTCACCTCTTCTGGGACGCCTCTAAAGGAGATTATAGGCTACCGGAGAGGCAGTGTTTTGATAGGGGGACCTTTGAACACTGTTGCCTGTCACGTGCTATTTCCTTTTCCATCTAATAGATTATTTAAAATAACTGAGTAGGTAGTAATGTTGGAAACATTGGGTATCATAAGAGTCTCCTTATCTTGGTTGAATTTGTATGATCTGTAGTCTTTTGTTCTACAATAAACTTTTATTTTTTTTTATTGTTTTGCTTTGTTTAGGAAAACATCAGTCACTGTTGTTGGCTGTTTTTGTGACTCCTCTTATCGAACTTCGTTCTGATTTCTCCAAGTTTCAAGAAATGATCGAAACAACTTTAGATATGGACCAGGTATGCAACTTCTTCTTAATTGAAGCATCAGAACATCTTTGAACACTCCAGCTCATTGCCCTTGAGTGAGAACTGACTCATCCTTGACCCTCCAGTGTGTTTTTGAGAGGCTGTAAATCACATGGGAGGAGAGTGCCCTTCTTTGTCTATTGGAGCTGCTGGTTGATTTCAGCCAACAGGGAAGGCAGCACCTTTGGGTCAGCAGCGCATGAACTGTGCCACCAGAGCTCCCTACATCTTAGAAAAAAATGAATATTTAGATTGCCTTCTTCAGTCTGATATTGGCCCTTTTGTGTTGAATGGTGGGTGTAAGGCTAAATTATATAAAAAAGATTTGTTATTAACAGTTTTAGTGGATACATAAATGAGGGTTGGACATAATTGTTACATTTCATAAATATTTCACATACCTGAAGAAACGTGTAGTCACTGGAAAAGGGAAGATGATTTAGGTAAGTGCGGAGCCCATAATCTGTTTTTTTTTTTTGTTGTTTTGTTTTAAATATGGAATGCTTCACAAATTTGCACGTCATCCTAGTGTATATGCTGCCAAAGCGAGCATTAACCATGATTTTTAAGACTAGTTTAGTTTAAAGTATCTTGTTAGTTGGGAACATAACTTATGTATATCCTCATGTCTTTAACAGTTTTGAGCATAATTTGCATAAGAATTAAAACTACCTGGAAGCCATTGAGTTGACTACAACTCATAGTGCCTGTATGGACAGTAGATTTGAACCTATCCTCTTTTTTTTTAAATTTTGTGTGTGTGTACTGTCAAATCAGATCTGACTGGTACAGGGGGAGATTTCCCTTCCTTCTCCAGCAGAGTATCTGGTACTTACCCTATCTTTTGTCATCCTAATGATCTCTGCCATACTTGAAGCCAGATGTTGTACTCACTGTGTCAGTCCTTCTCCTTGAAGTTCTTCTTCTCTTACTCTGACCCTCCACCTTTTCTGGTGTGATGTCTTTTCCTAAGGACTGGCCCCACCTTGATAACACACCCAAAGTATGTGAGGTGACGTTTTGTCATTCTTATCTAACTAATTACTGACATCAGGGCTCTCTGATGGCCTAGTGGATAGGGAGATTACTATCAGCCCAGTGGGGATGTTTTAAGTCCACCCAGTGCTCCACAGAAGAAAGACGGGCAGGCTCTTCCTGTGTGATTTATAGCCTCTGAAAACCTGCTGACGTTAGCTAGGAGTCAGCTCCAGCTCGATGGCAGTGTTGTTTTTGTTGTTGAGCGTTAGTAACCACATAAAAAGATCTTTATCATTATTTTGGAAGCAGAATTTATGGAATGGTAAGTGTTGTTATAACTGTTGAATATTTATGCATACTAAATATTTTGGAGCTTGTTACAACAACTCATAACTGACCCTCCAGTGGGGTTTTAGAGGCTGTTAATCTCACGGGAGGAGATTGCCCATCCTTCTCCCGTGGAGCAGCTGGTGGCCTCGAACCGCATAGCTTCAGGATTGCAGCACAGTTTCTTGCCTGTAGGCCATCAGAGCTCACAGCATAGAATAGAAGGTTTCCTTCTCTGTTATCTTTCTGATCAGTAACTGATCAGTAAACCTTTCAGGGGCCCATGTGAGGGGTTCATGCCACCAACCTTTAGTTAGTAGTTGAATGCAGACTATTTTTACCACTCAGGAACTTTTATCACATGATGGTGTCATTTTACTGTCAAGTTGTAATTCCTAGCAGGAACCTGGTACAGTTTCTCTGGGGAGCAGACCTTCTGTATTCTGTTACAAGCCTTTAAGCTTGTCTCAGGTTATAAGGTTAATTCAACCCTTCATTGTCATCGTAGAGCCTCGTGATGAATTTAAGTGTTTCAATTACATGACTCAGACCCACTTGGAGGAGAACCTCAGGGGGCTCTCGGTTGATGCCCTCTGACAGCTTCCCTCACTGTTCTCCTGCTGTGCTCTGAGCAGTTCATGAAATTCAGGAACAGCCGTTCACAGGAGTGCCTGGGATTTGCTCTTCCCTTTTTATGTGTTTTTGTGACTGCTTTTCATAAATCTTACAGAAAGATTTTCTACTTTTAAAAGAAAATATAGATTAAAACCATCTCCAAACAAGGTTTAGAAACCACAGTGAATTGTTACCAAAGAGACACATTTCCATTAGAGTGAAATAGATGAAGCCTGTTTAATTTTTCTATAATGCGTTTGGACCATCTCAGCTTATGTTTTTGGACTTGGGTGAATGTTGACCATTTTGTCTCCCCATTGGTTGTTTAAGGGATCCCATGCCTCTCAGGTATAGATTGAGAATGTGTGGTTCTTGGTAAAAAGTGAAAAAGTGACTTTTGCCTTTGCCAGGCAGTGTACAATGTGACCAGCCCAGGAACATTTTGAAGTGAATTCTTTAGCCTTAGAGTTTCCAGATGTATTGAAAATCATTAGCTGCAGAATAAAAATGGTTTAAGCATGCTGTTGAGTCAGAATACTCATAACTGACCCTCCAGTGGGTTTTCAGAGCCACAGGCAGATTCAAGCCATCAGTTTGTACTGGCAGTGCAGCTCCTTACCCACGAGGCCACCAGCATTCACATTGGAGTTCTTTTAATTTCACAGCAGTCTGGGCTGAAAGCATTGGCTGGCAGGGCGGTCCTCCCTGGACCGGGGCCTGCCTGTCTCTGGGGCTCCACCTCCTGTACAGTGTGCCTTCCCTCTTGGTCCCGGATGACTTCCCATCTTGAGACAATGGGGAGGAAAGAAGGGCAGAGGAGGACACCCTCAGGATGTTCTGTGTATCATTTCTGCTCACGTTTTGTTGGTCAGGACATAGTCATGTGTCCACACCTAGTTGACAGTGAAGCTGGGAAATGTAGTCTTTGTTCTGAGTGGTTAGGTGCCTGCTGAAAAGGGGGAGAAGAGTGAAGTAGAGATGGCCAGCAGCTTCTTCCAGCCAGTGCTTTTTTAAACTCCTTTGAAAGCAGGCTTTTAGGCCCACAGTGTCTGGGAGGAGACTTTTTCTCATCCTTCCTCCTCCAGGGGCCCAGGCGGACGGAAGCAGGGACTCCACTCAGAGCGCCACACATCTCTACCGCAGCTGTGCACTGCTTTGAAAGAGTGCTTGTAGTCCTTTTTCTTGATGGCATAGCAGTGGGTCTTTAAAGACTATTGTTAAAGAAATCTAGTGGTACTAACCTAAGGTGGTGTCTCTTTCATGGTTCAAATCTGGTGACAGCTCTTGAGGAGAAAGATGACCAATCTCTTCCCGTTTCTGAAAGGTGGAGGGGTGAGAATTGACTCAAGTTCATTGAAGATAGGCTTTCTGTGACACAGTGTTCATCTACCATTGTAGCCTTATCTTTTCTCCTTGGAAATATCATTTGTCTTGGCCTTGGTTTCTAGATTATCTAGCCTGTCTTTTTAAGTAATTTTGTAATATTCTATCAGTGTACCATTGTCTAGAGATTGTGTTTATCATTATTTCCAGGTTTTGCTATAACTGATAAATCTGCAGAGATGTTAGTCATCTCACTGTTGTTTTGAATCTGTTACATTGCTTCATTGGATTTAGTTCCTAGGAATAGAATTGCTCTGTCAGAGAGTAAGAAATGTATCTTAAGTCTGGCTGCATATTGCTTTTTTTAAAAAAGATTATTCCAACTTTTATTGCCACCAAGATATGAATGAGTGTACAGATTTCACTGTAGCCTTATTAGTATTAGATAGTAATTTCATTTTTTCTCTTAAATAGCTATAGAAAGTTATCTCAAGTTTACTTAGATATTCATACCTTTTTTTATTATGGAACTTTTTGCATTTTGTATGGGTTAGCTTATCAGTTTTTTATTTTGTGAGTTAAATGTTCTTATCTATGCCCATTTAATGACCTTGATTTTTTTTCTTATGTGTAAAAATATAAAACTTAACTCTCAGAATAGATTTGCTTTTTAAAAAAATTCAGAGAATGAATATTTTACATAGTAAAGTATCTTTGCCATTATGTTAGCTTAAAGTGGAAAACTAATTTGATATTTATACATTTTCTAAAAATAGGTTCCTGTAATTTGATTCTTACTGCTTATTCTTTTTGGAGTTCATTTTAGTATGTGAAGCTGTGTTTGGATAAAGTGGATAGTAATTTGTAGGAACTTATCTCAACCCCAGTTTTTTAGTAACTTTTATTTCCTTGTTTTTTAAAAATTGAATATCTTATATTAAGCTTTTATATATATATATGTGTGTGTGTGTGTATATATATATATAATTGGATCTGTATTGAGACTACAGTCTGTTCACAGCTCATCCTACTTCTATTTTCAGTAGTACCAAACTATTTTAGATAATTGCTTCATGTATAATTTTCAATGTCTGGGAGGGATACACTTGATTCTTTTTTTCAGATTTTTCTTTCATACTTTTGTCTGTTTAAATTTTAATCATTTTGTTTTGTTTTATAAAGGGATTCCTGTTGGGCTTTGATTATTGTCATGGTAAACACCGGGGAAGGATCCATCCTAACATTAGTTTTATTTTCTTTTTTGATATTTGCCTCTTTTATCTTTTTTTTTTTTTTAAATTCCCAGTAGGCTGTTAGCTTTAGTCAAAACTTTAAATGTTAAAAAAAAAACACTTTAAATGTTTTATAGGATTTTTTTATCATTAATAGCCTTATTAAGCTATTCTTTTCAAGAGAAATTGAGTTCTGAAGAGTTTGAAATAATGAGATTTTGATGGTCTTTCAGTATGAAGAAATAAAATTCTGTACTTGTGGGGTTAGTCTTTTTAATATAAGAACTGATGCTTTATGATTTTTACTTAGACCGTTGGTTGTAGGATTTGAATATTTATTAAAAAATATTCTAGGGGAAAATTATCTGAACATTATTTAAGAAAAATACAAAGAAAAAAAATAATATGATTAGTAAGAGATGTACCCTCACCACTAAACACACACACACACGCCTTCTAATGAACAGAACTTTTGTGGGTGTGCATGAAAGCCTCCGATAAATTAGAGACATGATCAAATGATTGATTATTGATCAGAGGACCAATTATGAACAGAACTTTTGTGTCTCTTAATATAGTAGCCAAAGGAAGCTCTGGTGGCCTCGTCTGTAGGGAGTTGCAGTGCTAACCAAAAAGCAGCCAGTTTAAATCCATCAGCAGTTCCTTGGGAGAAAGATAGTAATCGCCTCCTGTGTGATTTACAGCCTCTGAAACCCAGTAGAGGCTTTGAGTAGTTTCCAGCTCTACAGCTGTGAGTTCTGAAGATATACACATTCCTTAATAGTTAGCACTTAGAACGAATTCCTGAATTCAGTCAATCAGTGTAATCGAGTCAGGCTTTACCTGTTTACCTGTAATTTTAGCATTCAGTCACTGTGTTTTTCTTACAGGTGGAAAACCATGAATTCCTTGTCAAACCCTCTTTTGATCCTAATCTGACTGAATTAAGAGAAGTGATGGATGATCTGGAAAAGAAGATGCAGTCAACATTAACGAGTGCAGCCAGAGAGCTAGGTAAGCGTGGGTCTTGGAGGTCTAAGTCATGCTTCTGGATAGTTATCATTTAAGTCCAGGGACTTAATGGACTTGACTTCACTTTGTTGTCGTCCCCACCCTTTCAGGTCTGTTTGGCATTGTGATGAAGCTTAGTTCAGTCTTCCTGGCCGACTTGCTCTCTGTTGTCAGTTTTCCACTTCTGTGCATTGTCCACGTTGGTACCAGAATTCCCCTTCCTAAGAGGCATGCTGTCTTTTTGCTTTGATTAACAGTTGGTTGGGGGCTGGGAGCCTCTTGTTTAAAGCAATTATGACCTGCTAGGTGGGCCTTTGGAATGCTCTTTGGAGCACTCTGCCAGAATACTCCTTGGAGGCAAAAATGTTAAGGCTTTGTCTGACATATTTGGGCAGATAGCTAGGAGATGCTATTCCTTGGAGATCGACATCATCCTTGGAAAGGCAGAGGTTCGGCAAAGGAGAGGAAGACCCTCAACCAGGTGGATTGACACAGTGACTGCCACAGCGGGCTCTACTGTGTCAGGAAGTGTGAGAATGGCACAGGATAGGACAGGGCTCAGTTCTAACAAGAGGCATGCTTGATAAAGCACTCATGGTTTAAATTTCCAGTCTTCTGCTGTTCCTTGGCATAAGACAGGCATTGTACTATAGTGAGTCTTTGTAAGCCATGGTGTTTTTAATTGCTTCTTATATGTCTGAAAGATGACAGAAGAGGAATCACTGCCCAAATTGTGGTGTTGGGGAAGAGAACTGAGTATCCATGAACTTCAAAAAGAGCAAGCAAATCTGTCTTGGAGAAAGAACAACCAGGGTGCTCCTTGCAGGCAAGAATGGTGAAACTTCATCTCTCCTACTTTAGGCATGTTGTCAGGAAGGACCAGTCCATATAAAAAGACTTCATGCTGGGAAAGGTGGGGGGTCAGAGAAAGAGAAGACAACCCTCAACAAGTTCGATTGACACTGACTGTCACAGTGGGATCACGTTTCAGATGTGTTGTTCACAGGCTTGCTATGAACTGACTGGACAGCCCCTACAGCTTGACTTCCTTATGATTGCTGATTGGACCATTGTGATCCAGAGGGTTTTCATTGGCTGGGGCTTTTTTGTTTGGTTGTTTATCAAGCCTTTCTTCCTAGTCCTTTTGAGGCTCCTCTAAAACGTGCTTGGCATCATCGAGACATACAAGTGTCCCCTGATTGATGTGTGATTGAGGTTCTTGGGCTGGGAATTGCTCTTCAGTCTTCTGCATGGAACGTGAAAATTCTGCTGCAAGGATTTTATAATCAAAAGCCCATTGCTGTTGACCCACCGTCAGTTTTCCTTAGGCTTTCAGTCTTTTCAGGAAGAGATTGCCGATCTTTCTTCCTTGGGCAGACGGTGGATTCCAACCACTGACCTTTCATTCAGTCAGTGCACTTAGCCATAGAGCTCCTTTAAGGAGTTCATTATTGTTAAGAGGCAACTGAGTCAGCTCTTGACTCCTCATCACCCTACATTCAAGAGATCGAAACTTAGCCCACTCTACTATCTCCTCTAAGTCCGCATTTGCTCCAGCCCACTCTTGCTGCATAAAGAGTTTATAGATGTCCTTAATTTGTGTAATTTCTGAGTGAAGTAGATTTTTGATCTTTTCAAGCTAAGTAATGTTAATAAAGACTTTCCCATGTGGTGTCATGTAATAAAAGTTTTGGGGTTTTTTTGTTTAATAATTTTAAACATTCACATTGAAAAATGGTTGTGGATGTTTCTGAAGCACCTTTTCCTTTTCTCCTGATCCCTGAAGGCTTGGAGCCTGGCAAGCAGATTAAACTGGATTCCAGCACACAATTTGGATATTACTTTCGTGTCACCTGTAAGGAAGAAAAAGTCCTTCGTAACAATAAAAACTTCAGCACAGTAGATATCCAGAAGAATGGTGTTAAATTTACCAACAGGTTTGTAACTCCATATTTTTATACCTTCATTATTTCTGTGAAACCTGATGAAATGTGACTGTATATGAGAAATAAATGTCATTTATTATTCACTGATGAAGCATCCATCCAATTTAAGATTGACTCTTGCAAATGTACCAGTTAATAAACAATCTTCTCTCACTTAAGTGGTATGTTGGGCTGATTTTTAAGTACTCTGTTCTTCCCTTTGCCTGTCTCACTATTCTTTTGTTAGTACTAAATTGATTGTATAATTGCTTTATATTTCCCCTGTTTATTAAGGTTGTGTCTCTCTCATATTTGTTTTCACATACTTCTTTTTCCGCAGAAGACATTTCTATTCATTGAGTCAAGTAAGGGAATTTTGCATAGTTTAATCTCAGGAAAGACACGTCTCAGATATTATATCCTTTCATTATACCTAGTCACACTTTATGCTGAGCAAATCAAGAATTTTGGTTATATAAAGAATGAGGCTTTATGATTGGAGCAGGACTCATTAACAACCCGTAAGATGCAGGTGAACACAGCTTTGTTGAAAGTGAAGAGGACTTGAAGTGCTTGCTAGTGCATGAGGAAGCATAAAGACTGCAGCCTTCAGTATGGATGACATCTCAACATCAAGGAAACAGGCATGTTCACTACTGGACCACTATTCAGAATCATGATAGCTGGTGAAAAGATTGAAATTGTCAAGGATTTCATTCTGTGTGAATCCACAGTTAATGCTCCTGGAAACAGCAGTCAGGAAATCAAATCATGTCTTATCGCATCGGGCAGATCCCCTGCAAAGGGCCTCTTTCAAGTTTTATAAGAGCAAAGATTTTGAGAACTGAGGTGCCCTCGGGTATATCAGTTACATCATAGGCAGATGAAAGCGAAGCAGTGCAGTGAATAATGAATAAGACTGAAGAAGAATTGGTGGTTTGAACTGTGTTGCTAGTGAGGAATTGCACGCACCATGGACTGCCAGAGGAACAAGCAGAGCTTTCATGAAAGAAGTTCAACAGAATGCTCCTAAGAAAGGGAGAGTGGTGAGATTTTGTCTCATGTATTTTGGACTAGTTCTTGGAAACAGGCATCGTGTTTGATTAAGTAGAGGCTCAGAGTGAAAGAGGAAAACCCTCAATGAGGTGATGGCCACAGCAGCTGCAACAATAGGTCTGAAATAGAGGTTGTGAGAACGGCACACGGTCCAGCAGTGTTTGTCATGTTTTGCATTTATGGTCACTTAATCAGAACAGACCATTACACCTGATAACAATGAGGGAAAACTGCTGTATAAATTTATTTTCAAGAAGAATGCTCCCGTTCTAAATAGGGTGGTAGACTTAGTTCTGTGTAAATATTTTATAAAAGGCACAGATAGAATTTTACTCATGGTACTCATTATAGCAAGAATCGTGCCAGTGGGCTATTCTGCACCACATAAAGAAATGTGACTTAATAACCTGGTTTCTGGCCACATGTGCCCTAAGTGTTGCCAGTTTTACTGCTTATGTTTGTATTTTAATAGTTACCATTTTAATCTCCAGTATCATAGGATACTGTGTGTCTGTACAACATATTTTATGCAATACATGTTACTTGTAGATAATTTAGTACTTTTCATAATATGATGATCTTGATTTACAGTAAATTGACTTCTCTCAGTGAAGAATATACCAAAAATAAATCTGAGTATGAGGAAGCCCAGAATGCCATTGTTAAAGAAATCGTCAACATTTCTTCAGGTAATAGTGCCAGTATATGAAATGCTCCAAATAGGTCCTAATTTTTGGTAATATTTGGTAAAATATTGGGATCTTTGAAAATATATGGGGGTCTTAAGAGATGTTAGATACTGAAAATTCCTCTTATATATACAAAGGTAAGCTGGTGTGGAGCTCTGGGCTCTGGTGGCCTGTCTTGTGGGTAGGGAGTTGCCCTGCCAACCCAAAGTCAGGTAGTTCAGATCCACCAGCTGCTCCATGGGAGAAAAATTGACAGTCTCCTCCCTTGTGATTTCCTGCCTTTGAAAACCTTGAAACCCAGTGGAGTCAGTTCCAATTCAACATACAGCAACAACAGTGTAGGCTAAGAAATGGAAACACCCTGAGAAACAGAGGTGTGCGGAAGAGACACATCTTTTGTATTTGTAGTAATTGATGGCTCACAAGTCAGAACTGACTCCATTGTGGTGGATTTGAACCCCTTGACTTTAGGTTCACAACGCAGCTTCCTGTGGACTGTGCCATCAGAGCTCCCTGTAAGGGTAGGAGTTATGAGGAAAGAACTCACTACGGGCGGCCGTCCACTAGTATATTTAGGTAATCTGAACATTCATACTGAGGACTGTGGAAATAATTCCACTGCGAAGTAGATTTAAATCACACATGAGAAGAACTTTTTTCAATCTCGTTTTCATTTTATAGATTCTTTTTCCTGCGTTCACTCTAGAGGCACAGTTTGAAATGTTTCTCTCTTTGTAATGACTCTGTAATTAAGGGTAAAGCTTAATTTGACACTGTGTTATTGCTCATAAAATGGAATGTGTGTTTAGCACAGAGGTAGGTGGTGCTGTGTTCAGCTAGAAGACACTTCCTGCCTCCATGAGTTATATTTACTTGTAGTCTTTATTGTGACTTTTAAAAAAACATGCAGAGCCACAACCTTAAACCAAGTCATCAGAGAAAGCATTGTTCCTAATGGGACAGCTAACATGCTGCCTCTTGATTTAATGCAGAGTCAGTGCTGTCACATCACCTTGGTTGTGTTCTTGACAAAATATTTAACTTCCAATCAACAAGAAGACAGAAATCAGATACATTTAGATTGTGGGACATTCATTTTGAGCGAGCCTAAACTTTGCAAATGTTAGCATCATTAAAACTGAAACGAAATGGACAGACATCTGTTCCAGATGGAAGAAGACAGTAATGTTCAGTGGATAATTTTTGATTGAATATAGGTCTGAGAATTAAGAGTGGAGAGGAGCTTTAAAAGAAACCAGTGTTTAATATGAGTCTTTTACTTTGGTATGTGGTAAATGGTCTTGTGATTACGCTGGAAGATACCCTTGTTCTCAGGGTGTACATGCTGAACTAAAGAATAATTTCTAAAGACCTGTGCACATATCATTTTATAGAGTATTTCACTCTTGTGAATTTTCATAGGAATTCAGAATTACACATAAGAGCTGAAAGATTTTACTTGAATATACTTCACATACTGATGTTCTGATGAATGAGACTGATTTATAAAGATGACATTTTTTGCTTGTTTGGTACCTGTGGCATGATAATCTAGCAAAATTATTATGTTCCTTCTTCCCAGACTGCATTTTTTAGAAACTCAAAGTCTTCCTTACAAATCAAATTAACAAATGTTAATTAAGCTCCCAGTAAGTAAAAGGTACTAGATTTTTAATATGTAAATAGAGTTTTGTATTTGGAGGAACTGAATTTAAAAAACAAACACAACACCCAACAACACACACAAAAATCTCTTTCTTGATCTAACGTACACATTATAAACTACCTTTAAAAAAATGAAAGTATAATGGAGCATTTTTGCCATTTTTCTCTTATTAATAAGGTGCTGATATGAAAAGCCAGATTGGGAGATTCCAAGTAGACCTTTAATCAAGGGGCTTTAATTTTCTTTTTTAATTTTTTTTTTTTAATTTAGGTTGTTTATTTTTCATTTCAATGAACATCTACAGAGACTTTGGGATTCCATTCATTCATTGTTGCACCCTTCTCCCCGCACAAACCCCTCCCTTAAATTTTTGTAAAAAATGATTCTTCTTAGTGTATCTGGAAATTTATGAGTTTAAAGTACTTGGAGAAAATGCCTCACTAATAGTAAAAACATTTTCACAGGTTCCTGTTGCTGTCTGATAGTCTAGTATGAAGTCATCTCTCTCTCAATTCTATTACGTAAAAAGGAATAAGTATAGAAGCATGATGAAAAAGAGTTGCAGAATTATTTGTAACTGGCAGCATTTTAGAATTATGTAATGTGATCTTACTTTTATGGGGAACAAATCTTGTACGGTTAAACCCGTAGTTTTATGTTTTCCTAAAGTTAAACATTTTTTCTTAAAAATCACTTGGGAAAAAAAATGGCTGGAAACTTTGGATGTGATTATTTGCTTTCCATGTGATGTTCCTTCTCACACATGAGGAACCTGTTCCATCAACCCCTCCAGACGACTGGCATTTTAGAATCTTTTCAGAAAAATGTGGCCCCTTGTGTTGCCTCTCCATGCTTGTCTGATGTGCATCACTGGCACAAGGTAGCATTTCGTGCTGTCGCAGAGTAGACTCTGTGAAAGCATTCAAAGTGATAATTAGGGATCTAAATTAACGTTTCACTCAGCTGCTTGTGGCACTAATGAAAAAAAATCACACACTTGCTTGCCAGCAGACCTTAACAGTCTCAAGTATAGTGACTACCAGATGCATGCCCATTTTCAACTGTGAGATGGTATCCTGCTTTTAGATTCATAAAATTTAGGAAAAGATGTGCTTTAAAATTACTACTGTGCCCCAGGGATTATTATACCCTGTATTTCTTACATTATTAATTAATTATAGAATAGATTGTGAAAGGTTTTTTTAAAAAAATTTTTTTTTTGCACTGAAATCCCAGAGGTACACAGTTCCAATTCACCAGATGCTTTGCTGGAGAAGGAGGGGCAATCTCTTCTGTACCAGTCAGAGCTGATTTGACGGTACACACACAAAAATAATAAAATTTTTTAAAAATTTAAAAAAAAAATTTTTAAGCTCCACCTTATTCCTTTATAAACAACTATGTTCTATTTCTGTGGATTTTATTAAGGGACAGCACTACCCTCTGTGAAATCTGTTCACAATAGGATCTAATGAACAAATGAACCTCATGTTATAGCTTAGGTGTTCCTTTCAGGTTTTTCAACGGCAATTCCTGTTAGAATTTTCTAAGTGTTTTGTTGTCCTAAGTGAGGGGTTAAATGTGTTCTTAAGGCTACTTACATCTGATTTTGGGACTGATTCTTGCACCTGTTTCTGCCTTCGTTTTTACACAGGGTATGTGGAACCTATGCAGACGCTGAATGACGTGCTGGCTCAGCTCGATGCTGTCGTCAGCTTTGCTCACGTGTCAAATGGAGCCCCTGTGCCCTACGTGCGGCCAGTCATTTTGGAGAAAGGTCGGGGAAGGATTATACTGAAAGCATCTAGACATGCTTGTGTTGAAGTCCAGGATGAAGTTGCGTTTATTCCCAATGATGTTTGCTTTGAAAAAGATAAACAGATGTTCCACATAATTACAGGTAAAAACCTAGTTGATGAGTTTGGAGTGTTTTTTGGTGTGTGTGTTTTGGGTTTGTTGTTTTTGTTTTGCTTTGGTGTTTTGTTTTGTTTTTTTTTAGTGGGCAACATTTCTTTCATGTTGGTATGGAAAATTATTTTAAATTGATGAAGAAAAACTCAGTCTTTGATATTGGGGGTGGAAAAGAGCATATTATTGATGGTAGTTAGCACCAGCAGTCAGGAAATCACAAGATGAGTTGCACTGGGAAAGTCTGCTGTCAGGGACCTCTCCAGAGTGCTGAAAAGCAATGGTGTCAGTCTAGAGACTAAAGTAATCTAGACTATAGTCTTTGCAATTACTTGCTATGCACCAGAGAGCTGGACAGTGACTAAGAATAACAGAAGAAGAATTGATGCCTTTGGATTGTGCTGCTGGAGAAGAATCTTGAACATATCATGGACTTCCAAGAAAGTAAATAGGTTTGTCTTGCAGAGGGTGAAACCACGTTTCTCCTTGGGGGCTAAGATTTTGAAACTCCTTCAGATTCACCTACTTTTGGCATGTGACCAGGAGAGACTGGTCCTTGGAGAAGGACATCATGCTCATCAGAAGGGTCGAGAAACAGCATAGGAGAGGAAGACTCCAGATGAGATGGATTGATACAGTAACTAGGGCAGTGGGAGTTGGTGTGTCCGTCAGACTTAGTGAGACTGGCTTAGGACAGGGCAGGCTTCAGAGCTTCTGTACACAGGGTCACTATGGATCGCAGGCAACTCGACAGCACATAACAACAACAGTGTGTGATTTGAGGGAAGGTTTGGAAGGGGTAGGGGAAACATAAGAGAATATAACATGAAAGAATATAATGTACTGAGATGAAAAGTCTGATCCAGGAGGTTAGAGAGCATTAAAACATTTTCTTATGCTGGAGTACACCCCGGGAGCTCCTTGGAGGCAAGGATGGTGAAACTTGGTGTCACATACTTTGGCCAGTTTTTGGAAAGAGATCATGCTGAGAAAAGTGGAGGGCCAGAGAAAGAGAGGAAGACCCTCAGAAAAGATCAACCGACACAGTTACCATAATAGTGAGTGTGTTGGCGGTGGTGAGGACAGCACAGGATGCGGCAAGGTTCAGCTCTGTTGTTCTTAGGGTCACTGTGAGTTCTAGGAGACTGTAGGCCCCCAACAGCAACATCTTGAAAGCTCACGGTTGAGTAGTGAGAATATTACAGACCAGCCACGATTGGTTGCCAGCGTGACCTCAGCCAAAGAAGGTAGCAGACTTTAAGATACAAGTCCATATTTGTGTGAACTCTTAAAATCTAAAAAAATAGTAGACTTGCTTATATAGGGTGGTATGTCTCACGCTGTGGTCTTTTGAGGGATCTTAATCAAGTTCTGATAAACAATTGGGGCTTTTGAGCAGCATTTGATGGTTATATTCTGACCATACATTTCCTGCGGGTGGATTTTTAAGTTGTTCATGTTGTCTAATCCCCATATAAGTTAATAAATTGCAGATTTTTCAAAGGAAGGGTCATAGGGCTTCAGTGTGGGGTTTAAGTGTTAGAATGTTGGACCATATTGACCGTTACACAAGTGGTGCCCTTTGGTAATGAGTAACAGCGTTTAATTAATCTGTTGTGTCCACATGCCCTAGTTATAAGGTATTCTGTGAGCAACTCTGATCTGCGGGGAAATGGCAGTGTGGTCTCATGAGTCACATGTAAGGGATTTTGCATGATTTGTTTTGTTTTTCTTAGAGTTATTTGACACCAGGTATTGTTTGGGGTTGGGGCGGGAGAAAGTGGGCGATATCTTGGTCCACTCTGTGCAGCTTGTGATTCTGCTTGTAATCTGTCCAGTCACTGTGGTCATATCGCTACCTACCATGGTCATTGAGCTTTAATTTGGACCAGTGGTTAATTAGAAGAAGGAAATTAACAGGTTTGTGTCATTTTTGTCGTAGGCCCCAATATGGGAGGCAAATCCACGTATATTCGCCAAACCGGGGTGATTGTCCTCATGGCCCAGATTGGGTGTTTTGTGCCGTGCGAGTCGGCGGAAGTGTCCATTGTGGACTGCATCCTGGCTCGGGTTGGGGCTGGTGACAGTCAGTTGAAAGGAGTGTCCACGTTCATGGCTGAAATGTTGGAAACCGCTTCTATTCTCCGGTGAGTCTGTGTCCTTGTCCCCTAATACATTCAGCGTCAATGAGAAACATCTATGAATGCTTCTGTGAAGCATCTGGAAACCCTGGTCTACTTTCAAAGCTGTTTTACCCTGAGTTCTCTGTATGTGTGATTAATGATAACTTGTGGATAGCTACTTTAAGAGTCTGTGGTAGCATCTCACATTCTACATCTTTGGCATATCAGTCGATTGTTTTACTGGCTTTTCCCTCCATTGCCATTGTTTCCACCAACCCACTGCTGTCCTTACTCTTTACTCAAGTCTTTTTACAATATTTATGCCCCTAAGGACAGAAATTCTACTTCTGTGGTGATATCCTTGGTCACATTAATTTTAGGCAGTGAGTTTTGTAGAAGGACTTAATTAAACCTGGAGTTGTTTGTAACTCAGTGAGTGAGTGACCCTGTGTGTAGCGGTTCTGAACCATCCTTGTCCTGAGCCAGTCTCACTGCCTCTGACATCTACCCCCGTTACCAGAGTCTCAGTGTTAGTGACCGCAAGAGGTTCTTTCTGTAGTCAATTGCCAATGAGACAAAAGGATTGCAGTATTCATATGCACTTTATTACAGATCTGGGAGGACAGCAGGTCAGCCTCAAAGACTTCCTCCTGACTAAGAGAGGTCATTAGGCTTTTATACCAGGGTGAGACACCAGCTCACTTAATAATGCACTTTTGTTAGTAAAATCAAAGAATTTCTACATCTGAAAAAAAAACCATTCACACCCAGATACTAGTAAACAGGCAACCTATAAACTAGTTAACATATAACAGAAAAACCGATTTTGGAAAGGGAAGAGTTAATCCAGTACTCCCTTTCCTGGCAAACAGGCAAATTATGTTACAATTTACATATGTCTGGGAAAAACTGCTTCAAAGAGATAACTGCTGATCTGGGAGATGCATCTGAGGTAAACAGATTAAAGAAAGGAAGCTAAGAATTCCAAGGTCAAGCATCTAACCTTGCAGGCTGGAGAAAACCGATGCCAGCTCTGTAACTATGTAACTATAGTTCCGTAACTGAGAATTCTGAACTTAACCAGGATCACACCATCATCTGTCAGTCCATCTCATCTAGAATCTTCTCCTGTGGTGGTCCTGCCACCCTTCTGAGCATGATGTCCTTCTCCAAAGACTGGCCCCTCCTGGTCACATGCCCAAAGTATGTGAGATAGAGTTTCAGAATCCTTGCCTCCAAAGAGTAGCTTGATTTTACCCTCATCAAGACAGACCTGTTTGTTCTCTTGTGGTCCATGGTATGTTTAGTGCTCTTCTCCAGTATCGCAACTGAAAGGCATTGATTTTTCTTCTGTAATCCTTAGTCATTATCTAGCTCTTTGATGCATTGAAAGTAATTGAGAAGACCATGGCCTTAGGCAGGTGCATCTTAGTTTCTAGACTGACATCGTTGCTCTATATCACTTTGGAGAATTTCCTGACAGCAGATTTCTCTAATGCAGTTCGTCTTGTCTTTTCCTGAATGCTGGTGCCACAAGTGTTGACTGTGGCACCCAGCCAGCTGAATCTGTTAACAGCTTTGATCTCTTTTCCATCTGTCATGGTACTGCCAGTTGGCCCTGTGGTGAGAATCTTTCTCTTCATGATGTTGAGCTTCAATCCACATTGAAGACCACAGTCCTTGAACTGCAGGAAATGCTTCAGGAAGGTAGAACTCAATATATGCCATATGGTGAAAGAAACAAACCATATTAGACTGTTGCTATCAAGTCATTTCCATATTTTATTCTTTCAACTCCTACTATTACATTGACTTTATAGTTTATTATTTTTATTATTCCTTTAGCTAAAGGTTTGTTTTGTTGTTGTTGTTAAGTGCCGTAGAGTCGTAGACCCATAGGGACCTTGTGAGCTTAGAGCAAGGACAAATTCACTTGGCCTTTGTCTTGACTCCTAGGAGTCTACCCTTGGGATTATCTGATTTCAGGAGTTCTTCATTATTCTATATTTGGGCCTCAGTTTGTACAAAGCCAGAGGCTAGCCATGCTAGAAAGACCAGTGATCAAGTGTCTTATGGGGCTGAAATTTAGTGGCCCTCTGAAGTCACCACATTTTAAGGTCAGGGAAGGAGGATTAAAGATTGGATTTGACTCTGTAGGCAGTGATTTTATCTTATCAGTCATAACTGTGTAATAATGAAACCATCCTGGAGCTTGGGTGAGCTCCTCGGCCAGCAGAGCTCTGTTAACATTTCAGTCCTGAGAAGGTGACTTGTTGTCCCTTGTCACTCCAGATACTGCTTTAGTTTCTGTCTTTCTTGGGCTGTTTCTAATTTGTATCCCTTTGCTCTGTGTCGTCAAGACCTAAGATAAGAATAAAGAATGAGACAGGACACCAAGAATGGAGAGGAAACAGAGATGTAAAGCAAGGGTAAAGAGCTGGAACAACTGAAGTCAACTGAAGCACGGAACCCAGCTTCCCTGTGTCTTTACTGAAAATTGCTGGGGAGCAAATCACAAAGAGAATTCTATGCAAATGAACTAAGCTCTTTCTGTTGAAATCCTTGTGCTTGCTTAACTCAGGATGGGGGCATTAGCAAATATAATCCAAAACCAAAGAAAAAAACACCTAAGATCTGCCTTGACACTTAACCTTTGTGAATGCCTAAAGTCTGCCTTGGTGCTTCAGGGAGAGTTCCAGCTTGTATCTGCACCTCCTTCATGTCCTGATAAAGCGTTTGGTTTATCTTTAACATGTAGTTTGAAATTTGGCTTCCCACAGCTCTGTAAAGCTGTTCCTTACTGTAACATCTTACACCAACTCACCAACTTAGGTGAGTTGTTGTAGTTAATTGTCAAGCTTGAGAGTGGTCCTAGGCCTCACTGACCTTGCCTTTGGTGTCTGAGGGACAGTCTTTATCTAGAACTGAGTTCTCAGACTGCAGTTTAGCCAAACCTTGTGTACGATTACTAAGATCTTTCGTTTTATTTCCCATTTTTGAAACTTTCTTGAAGTCAGGGAAAATACTTGGGATTTTTGTTGTTGTTGTTGTTGTGTGCTGTTGAGTTGTTACTGACCTATAGCTGACCCTCTCTAGTGGGTTTTCACAGGCAGTAAAATTCATGGAAGGAGATTGTCCATCCTTCTCCTGCAGAGCAGCTGGTGCATTTGAACCGTGTGCCTTTGGGATTGCAGCGTCTTAGCACTGACACCAGAGTGGATCCTTAGTAAATAATATATTGATTGAATTTCTGAGAGAATTTGTTGTTTGATTGTGAGGAATTCTAAAAGCATTGTAAACATATAATTTACTAATTCAGCCAGAAATTAATATCCACAACTTTTAAAGTAATCAAAACAAGCAAAAATCACAGAAAAAGATAGATACCTTGGATGATAAATGCATGCAGTTCCCCATGTGTCTAGTAATTAAAGATGAAGACAGAATGCTCATAGCCAGTGTGGGTGAGGAAGTGTGGGCACAGGTATTACACAGCAGTGTAAGTGCTGGTGTCCCGCAGGCCACAGGTAGACTGAATTCAGAGGATGATGGTCACAAGCTCTTTACTCTTAAAATCAACGCCTCTGGTCCCACATTTGTTGTGTGTGCTGTCAAGTCAGAACCGAGTCATAGCTGATCTCTAGTGGGTTTTCAGAGGCAGTGAATCAACCTGGGAAAAGATCACCCATCCTTCTATGGAGCAACTGGTGGATTCGAACTGTGCATCTGGGATTGCAGCACCGCTTCTTACCACTAGGCTGCCTGAGCTCCGTGGTGCATATTTTGTCTTGTTTTTTTTAAATGTCTCAGCAGATTTGATTACAAGGATGAATACTAACTAGTTTATTTGGGATTCTAGTGAGGATGGAAACTTAAAAATTACTCTTTTTTACTCTTCTATCCCTTGTGTCCATGTCCATTTTAAAACAGACAGTTTGGATGCTTTTTATTGAAATGAGGGCTTTGTTGTTTATTTCCTTTTGATATGTTATGATACCCTGTCATATTTGTGACATACCTCCTAGTGTATTAAATTTAGTTTTTGGCATTTTTGTGTCACAGAGAAGTGTCACACAATTACATATTTTTCAGGTCTGCGACCAAAGACTCGCTAATAATCATAGACGAATTGGGAAGAGGAACCTCTACCTATGATGGGTTTGGGTTGGCATGGGCTATCTCTGAGTACATCGCGTCAAAGATTGGTGCCTTCTGCATGTTTGCAACTCATTTTCATGAACTTACCGCTCTGGCCAATCAAATACCAACTGTTAATAACCTACATGTCACAGCACTAACCACCGAGGAGACCTTGACCATGCTTTATCAGGTGAAGAAGGGTGAGTATACAAACCACAGGTGTGTGTACATTCCAAGTATGACAGTGGCAAACACATTACTCTTGAAATCATCAGTCATTACCTTGCTGCTTTTAAATGAGAGGGCCTGAGTGGTGTGTGGTGTATCAGGTTGCTAACTCAGGGTCAGCACTTCTTATCCAGCCAGAGATCTGACGGGGGCAGATGGACATAGTCTTCCTGTAGCATTCTGGCCTCAGAAACCCAATGAAGGGTCCCTTAGAGTTGAACTAGATTCCTCAGCAGTGAATGACACTGAGTGTCAGATGTTGACTTTTTTTATAGAACATGTTTGTCTCTGATTTCATGTATATAGGGCCAGGCACGTGGTACATGCTTCTGTGTCTCCCAGTTGTGGTTGTTGTTTGTTGTGTGCCATCGAGTTGCCTGAGACTCATAGCGACCCTATGCACAAGATCTCTGAATGCTGTCCATCCTGAGCTAAACACACTGTGTCCAACACACCTACCCCATTCCCCCAGTCACTGAGTCAATCCTTCTCATCCAGGATCTTCCCCTCTTGTGCTGTCCCTCCACCTTTCCAACCATGATATCCTTCTCCAAGGACTGGTGCCTCTGGCAACATGCCCAAAGCGTATCAGACGGAGTTTGAAAATCCTTGTCGCCAAGGAGCAGCTTGGTTTCACCTTGTCCAGGACAGACCTGTTTAATTCTCTTGACAGTCGTGATTTGTTCAGTACTCTTTTTCTAGCACCACAACTCAAAGGCATCAATTCTTCTGTCATCCTTAGTCATTAAAAAGACAGAGGAGAAAGAAAGGATGTTTGTTAAGTGTCGTTAAATTGACTGATTGCGGCCCTTTGAACAACAGATCAAAGCTTTGCCTTGTAAGGTGCTGTCCTTAAATCTCTGCTGTGCTCAGGCCCATTGTTGCTGTTACTGTTTCAGTCCTTCTTGAGGAGCTCCCTCTTTTTCTCCCACTTAATCTTAAAAAACAAAACCCCTCACAGAGAGATCTGTGTTCTTGAATATCTCTGTGGAGGATCTTTTATTAGTATAAGAGTGATAGTCTCACTCTGTCTGCACTTGTATGCCTCTGTGCTTCTCATTAGGACACTGGCCATGTCCTTGCTGAATTAGCTGCTGAGTTATGACCCTTACTAGACTTTGAAGTGGTGAGGATCTGGCTGTTAGTATTTCATGAGATATTTTTTTAATTCTTTCATTGTATCTTCAAGGATGTTATGTACACGGATTCTTTTAAAGCTGGGAGTTCCCGACATCCTGAAATGTTTATTGGTATCTCATACGAAATGAGTTCTCTCGTGGGATTTCATTCTCCCGAAAAGATGTCATTTTTGTCATTTGTGCCAGAGCCACAAATTTTTTGTCATTTGTGGGTCTGGCAGCTAATTAAATTACTGAGCTGATGCGTGTAACATATTGTAAGGTTCTTACTGCTTAAACATTGTGCAGCTCTTCAGAAGAGTTTTTTTCCGGTTGGCTTTCTCCCTTGTTTGGTTGTCCGTGAATGAAAGGACCTTAACTCTTGTGTCTTTTGTTACTTACTCTTCCGAGAGATACCTTTTGAGCTTTTATGTTTATATTACCATCCTTGGCATGGGATGTGCATGTAGTTACTTCTCATGTAACACAGTTATATTTTGTACTTCTAAATCATTGTTGATAATCTGTGTGCTTATAGAAACATGCTCTGAATATTGGAGGGTGAGACCCTCACCGCCACCCCTCCTTCATTGTAAGTGTTCTGCACCATTTGCCTTTGCTTTATTTTGATGGACTGCTTTTGGTTGCATGAAGTGTTTAGTTTGGGCAGGTTGCGTAGGATATATAACTTGGTTGTGGGTGAGGAGAGTGACAGCTTCTTTAAGTTTTAGGGGTGAAAGTTAAAAAGCTGAGGGTGGTACCAGGGCTTTTTGTTGCTGTGGGCAGTCCTGGGCCTTCCAGGTAACCTAGCTCCAGTCTCTACCTCTCCCTTCACTTGTACCTTTTTGTCTTCTCATGAAGACACTGATTATTAGAATTAGGGCCCACCTTAGTTCTACTGTGGTCTCATTTTTTAGCTAATTAACTCTGCAAAGACTATTTCCAAATGTTGTTCTTAGATACTGTCAAGTCAAGTATGACTCATAGTGACCCTGTGAACAAAAAGTCTGAACCCTATTCTTTCCTGTGCCATCCTCACTCTTCCTGACACACAAGAACCCAGTGTAGCGGTCACCGTGTCAGTCCACCTGGTTGAGGCTCTTCCTTTCCTTCATTGTCCCTTCACCCTTCCCAGCATCATGTCCCTCTTCAAGGAATAGCCCCTCCTAGCAACATGCCCAAAGTATGTGAGGCAAAGCCTAATCATTCTTGCCTCCAAAGAGCATTCCAGCTGTACCCTCTCCAAGACATAGCTCTTTGTTCTCTTGGCTGTCCACAGGATGTTCAGTGCTCTTCACCAACACCACAGCTCAAAGACATCAGTTCTTTTCCTGTCATCCTTACTCATTGTCCAGCTCTCAGATGCATAGCAAGTAATTGGGGGAACTATGACCTGAATCAGATGCACCTTTGTCTTCAAACTGACATGACGACGCCTCAGTAATTTGGAAAGGTCCAGATAAGGTCCTGTTTTAAGGTTCTGGGTGCACTTGAGTTTTGGGTGCCACATACACAATAGCTAATTGAAGCAATTGTGTTAATTGCTAGGTTAATTTTTATTAAAAAGTTTGTTAAAATTTTGAGTTAATTTATTTTCTACAAATGAGAAAGAAGATTAGGTACCTAGACTGTAACTTTACCCATAATTTGGATAGAAAATTTCACTGATAGTTGTTTGCAGTGGTTCAGAATCACATTAAGACTATGGGAAAAGGTAAGTAAATTTTTAAAGATAAGTTCTGTAGACATTGAGATTATCTAGCCAGTCTCCCTGAGTCATAATCACTAAGAAATTATATAGTCACATCCAAAGGCTACAGTAATAATAAATCAGTATGCTTTAAATTAAATGCTGCTTCTAATTAATGGCACTTTTATGTTTATCCCTTTTTTGTTCTTACTACTTTTAATTCTCCCCTTTTGAAGTGTGAATACCTCAGAGACACGAAGTTGATTAATTTTTTTCTCCAAATTAGGAAATTTTCCAGGCCTTTGAGAATATTCTCCAGAACCTTTTCCCTGCTATTTTTATTTTCCCTACTACATTTGTCAAGACTAAAATACAGGGTGGAGTGCCAAGTCATAATCACTTTGCATTGGAGGTTTAATTAAAAATTCCTTTATCTAAATTACCTTGCAACATTTGGCTCGTGTATTTTAAATAATGTAAATTAAGTTTTCTAATGACAAGGTGGGAAGGATAAATTCTGTTCACACACATTACTGTCTCTCCCCACCTTCCAAATTTTCTGTAGGTGTCTGCGATCAGAGCTTTGGGATTCACGTTGCCGAGCTTGCTAATTTCCCTCAGCATGTAATAGAGTGTGCTAAGCAGAAGGCCTTGGAACTGGAGGAGTTTCAGAATATTGGAAAATCTCAGGAATATGGTGACACCGAACCACAAGCAAAGAGATGCTATCTGGAGAGAGAGGTTTGTTGGCTTGTTTTTGTAGCTACTGAACCTTACACCAGATCACCAGTCTGTTTTGTCCACACTTCCACCACTCACCCCCCATCCCCAACATGCAATTTTTTAAGTTTTATATTTTTTGCATACAGAATTTGTGTACAGTGTGTTTTATTCAATGATCATTGTTCTCTGCCACTGTGACCTCATCTTTTCACGTCCCCTTTGGATCTTTCCTTATTCCTTCGTCGTCATCCCCACTCACCAAACTCTTCTTATCCTAGTGATTTCACCCCCTCTCCACTTCCACCCCAACCTCATCCCCCTTTCCCCTTTTTTATACTTTTATACATATCTTATTAGTTACCCTTCTATTTTTATAATAATAATCTTATGCCATATTTGTTCTTATGAGACTGAACTAGTTCACTCAGCACAATGCTCTCTAGAGTCTCCCATATTAAAATAGTATTTTATGAGATCGTTACTCCTTAGTGCTTCATAGTATTCCATTGTGTGAGTGTGCCGTAATTTTGCAGTCTATTCATTTCGGTCTGTTGTATTTATATTTTTTCTGTATAGTTTTAGTGTTTCGGATTTGATATATTATTATTGCTAGTTTTTACTAAGTAAAAATGTCATTTCTTTGCATGGTGTAAAGAATCCATTTCTGTCATTCTGATTTTTGCAGCACCTCTGTATAATAAAAAGATACCGTTTAAGTGCCAGATTTTAAAAGTAGTGGGAAAGGAATTCTAGGCTTAAAATAAATAATTCAGGGGAACTAGAAATGTCTGAGGGAGCCTTAGTAACACGTGATTAAGTTGTGTGGCTGCTTACTGAAAGACTGGTGCTTCAGACCTGCCAGCCACACTGTGGGAGAGAGGTCACCACGTTGGACATCCCATGGGCCAGTTCAGCTTTGACCTTAGAGGATCGCTAAGTCAGAGTGGACTCGATGGCAATGGGTTTGTAGATGCCATCTTTGACTCCTTGATAAATGAAGGGTGATGGATTGATGATAGATCAAGGCTATTTAAATGTCAAGATTTATGCAGTTCTTAGTTAAAATGGTACTAAAGGGGAAAAAAGCATAGTTCCTGACCTCACTTTTAAAATTCTGTTGGTGAGAGAAGAGTAAAGAATGTGTCACAGACAGTAAAGTATATGTGACATGTTTATTTAAGAAATCTCTTTGAGGACTGAATGTTTTAATTCTCAGAGAAGTTAAGTCTTATCCTGGTTCTTTCCCGGGTCTCGGCACCAGAAAAAGGGGTAAGTCTTAAATTGGACCATCTCTGAGTGATGTATTAGGTAGACACACAGAAAGGTGCAAACATATCCCCACCTTTTTGAAAAAAATGTAAAGTTTACTGGTTCTCTTTAATAATGAAATAAGATTCCTATTTAACAGCCTAATGCAACCTGTAGTGTGCAATTGCAGTTACAACTATTGTCATGGTCTTAGTTTCTGCTCAGTGAATTTTAGTGTTCTTTCATGAGGATTGTTAAAATAGAAGGTAGTATTAGTGGGTTTTGAGCTTAGAAGAAATACACTGTGAATTACTATCAATTTAAAGTCCAGAGGCGTACCAAGCTGAATGGATATGAGTCTTTGTTAGCCCTTAAATGTATCAGAACCACTGCTGACAGTGACCTAGGTCTGTGGGATTGTTGTTCTGCGTCTTAATTCAGACTCATTGAGTTGGGATTAGATAGCTTCATTTGGTGTTTCCCTCAGACCTGGTCACATATTTTCATAATATTAATTAGAAGGTATTTTGAAAGTCTCAAAGCTAAGGTAAACAAAGCTATCCTTGTTGTTCAGTCTAGATTTTATCTTTTAAAAAATCGTGTTTAAATTCTTTTTCCCTTATATTGTTGAAAGCATATGCTGTTTCAGCAGTTTCTGCAAGTACAATTTAGTAACACTGTTTGATAACCCTTCTCATCCTTCTTTAATGAATTATCCTTCCCCGTTAATGTAACTCACCCCCACTAAGGTTCCTGTCTGATGTTTGCAGTTGCCCTCATCTGTTAAGATATAAGATGGTTCTTTAAAAAGCATTATGCTTAAGGCAGACACTGTTAGTCCTATTTTATTAAGATTTCAGGGGATTTGTGGTTTAAGGATGGCCTGAGGGTATAAAAAGAGCAAGGGCTGGGTGGTCATGGCTATATCAGACCTTTATCAACTCCACAAAGGGGAACTGTCCCCATCAACAGCACCCACAACACAAAACTAATTTCCATGGGATCAGACACACCTCGATGCTCCTGCCCCTCTTTTTATTCATCCCAGTACCACCAATCTTACAGCTTTATTGGGTCTGAAACCTGTTGGTGATAGCCCACAGACCACAGGGAATCAGGGAAGTCAAAAGGCTATGATTCACATTAGTAGAAGAATACAGTCACTTAGTTGGGACAGCTTCTGCAGTGTACTCTCAGGCACCTCATCCTTGAGCCTCCTTGCTTTAGGCCAGTGTTATCCTTGCTTTATGCCAGTTATGGCTCTCTCTCCCGAGTCCTCCAACAGACATTGGGCCAGGCTCCTAGCTCTGGTTCTTTGGAGTAGTAGTCCCAACGTCAGCTCAGTCTCACGTGGGGTCTCTGTTTCTCTGCTTCGGTTCTTGCTGCTCCTGTACAAGAATCTCTGGCCCCATAGGGTGAGCTTCATTCTCTAGCTGCTTCTTTGCTTGTAATTAGATTCTCAAAATCTACTGCTGAATCTGCTTAATTTAGTGGGGGAACTAGCTGGTGCCCTGTATATAGACTACTGCACCCTTTTCACATTCCTGCCCATCCACGTGGCAAAGTCAGTGGCCAGGGAAGCCTTTTTGAACAGTAACCTCTTAATGTCACTGAGGGTGGTAGTTTCAGGGTTTCATCTAGCCTTAATGGCTCCAAAAAAAAGTCTAGAGACCGTTAGAATTTTCTCTCAGAATGTTTAGTAATGGTAATCAGACACTGTCCAGTTCTTCTGGTCTAACAGTGGTATTTCGTGGAAAAATGCATCTGCTTTTAACAGATGGGCTTTTTTTTTTATCACTTCAATGCCTATTTTATATCTTCAGTAGGTTTTCTTGTGTAAAAAGCAGCCCTTGTATTTTGTCTTCACAGGCAGCACCTCCCTTCTTTGTTTATCAACATGGCTAGGTTCCAAAGACTAGGTCACGAAATGAAATCAGAATTGTATAAAAGTTGGAGCCTGTGCTCTGTCTCCTGGGCTGGTGTTTCCTCCATCTCCCCACTTCCTAGACAGCTGTTCTAATTTGCCTTATGATGTGTGTAGTGTTACAGAATCCCTTCCCCACCTCTGCCAGGCCTGTGGGACAGGTGTGGTCTGGTGTTGCTTGCCCTGGTTGGGGACTGCTCATCTTCTCCATCCATCCCAGCCGCACATGTCTGCTTTATAGTTTCCCTATTGTAGCCTTCCCCCACTGACTTCCCTCAGCCTCTTCCTGGCGGGCCACCATCCCTTGTGTGACCTTGTTTTTACCTGGCTTCATTCAGGGTGGCCTGTGGACAGTACCTTCAGCCCAGCCGTACTCTCAGTCTGCCGCCTTCAGCCCCCCATGGAGCCCAGACCTTTAAAGAGGCCACCTGAGAGTTTTTTTTAAAGTTAAAAATGTGATGTGTTGGGTAATGAAATAGTAAGAGAGGAATATATGTAATAGTAACTACTTGCAGAATACTTATTCCCTGCCAGGCACTGTTCTCAATATTTTACACATACTACTTCTTTAAGGCTCACAGCAGCCCTGTGAGATTCATAATAGTGTCCTCATTTTAAGAATGATGAATGGTAGGGAGCTCTGGTGGCCTAGTGGCAAGACACTGCACTGCAATCCCAGAGGTATGCAGTTCAAAACCACCAGATGCTCTGCTGGAGAAGGAGGGGGCAATCTCCTCCTATACCAGTCAGATCTGATTTGACGGTACACGTAAAAATAATACAATAAAAATTTTAAAAAAAATTATAAAAAAGAATGATGAATGGTGATCACAGAGGTTAAGGAATTTGTGGAAGGTAATAACCATGTTCTTTGAAAAAGTCATAATCTGAGTGGTAAAATGAACCAATGGAAAGCGTCTCCTGTGTGTATTTTATTTCCAGTGACTTTGTGCCTTACGGAATCCATGAGTCCTTCCTTCCCAGAAGAATAAGTTTATGTATCAGAAATTACTGCAGTATTCAGCCTCTTTGTCTTTAGTAGCCAAAACTACACATATTGTCTTAATGATTTGTTATTTTTAAAACAGAGCCACTGCCTAAAGAGTTACTGTATTTTAGGCAGTCTGGTAAGGAGTTGTGCTGCCAACCCGTAGGCTGGCACTTCTGATCCACCAGCTGCTTCAAGGAAGAAAAATAAAAAGATGAGCAGACTCCTCTCGTGCAGTTTATGGCTCCCAAACCCACCTGAAGGGGAGCGCTCAGTCGGTCGTGACTCAGTGGTAAATAACAGCATACTTAAAGGAAGTTCAGGTGGCCTGATGTTTAGGAAGTTGCACTAACAATGCAAAGGCAGGCAGTTCAACTCTACCAAGCTGCTCCAAGGGAGAAAGATGGACACTATCCTTCCGTAGAATTTACAGTCTTCGAAAATGCGCTGCAGAGTCAGCCAGGAGTTGATTCTGACTCCATGGTAATGAGTTTGAATTTTTTTTTTAATACTTAAGTAAAAACATGTTCTGATTTAGATGGAATTTGTGAAACAGTTTATTGCTGTAACGACTAATGAAATATTCATGGTTTTGTTTTGGGGTTTTTTTTACCAGCAAGGTGAAAAAATTATTCAAGAGTTTCTATCCAAGGTGAAGCAAATGCCCTTTACAGAAATGTCAGAAGAAAGCATCAGAGTGAAGTTGAAACAGTTGAAAGCTGAAGTGACAGCAAAGAATAATAGTTTTGTAAATGAAATAATTTCACGAATAAAGGTTACTACATGAGAAAACTCCAGTAGGGAAATGAAGATCACATTGATAAGCTATTGTCTGTAACACTTTTTTGTATCGTTTTGTACTTAACCCTTTTCCAGTAATGTTGATGATTGAGAACTCTGTGATACTAGTCTAATAAAATATTTAGAACAATACTTTGCATACATCTTTGAGATCTTTATTTTGAAAACAAGAGCCGTATTTGAGGAAATCTATTGAAATAGGTTTCAACAATAATAACTGGTTGAATTTGATAAATAAAATCATGTAATTTGTGGGATTTGATTCTTCTGTTTCCTTGTAATGTAACCTTTACACATTGTACACTGTTAATGACATTGTGTTTTTACTGTCCAGTTGACCACAAACTCCTGATACTGAGACCATGGACAATGGAACTGTCCCAGGATTAGCTACAGTCTTAGTCATCTAGTGCTGCTGTTACAGAGATTTAACAAGTGAATGACTTTCACAAACAATTCATTCTCTTACAGTTTAAGGTAATAGAAGTCCAAAGTCGGGATGCCCTGATGGCTTAGTGGTAAGGAGCTGCTCTGCCACCCAAAAGACAGGTGGTTCAACTCCACCATCTGCTACAAGGGAGGAAACTAGGCCATCTTCTGTATGATTTAGATTCTGAAATCTGGCTTGAGGGTCAGCTATAATAGGCATGTAACACCACCGTCACCCTTGGTATCTGCAGTGAAGAAGTCAAAAGACATTTTTAAAGTAGGTAGATCTACTGTTAAGAACCAACATAAAAGTGCTAGAGTAAGGATATCAGTTTAAGGACTAAGGTATGCCTGATTCAAGCCTTGGTGTTTTCAGTTGCTTTCTGTGCATCTGAAAGTTGGACTGAAGAAGAATGATAGAAGAGTTGATGCCTTGAATTACAGTGCTGGAGAAGAGTATCATATTACTGGCTGCAAAAAACCCCACAAATCTATCTTAAAGTGCTCCTTAGAAACAAGGATGGTAAAACTTCACATATTTTCAGGAGGAACCAGTTCTTGGAGAGAGACATCAAGCTGGGGAAAGTAATCAACAAAAGAGAAGACCCTTGACAAGATAGACATGGTGACCAACGTAATGGGCTTGAGCAGGACAGATCAGGAAGGTAACACGGGATAGGGCAAGGTTCAGGGGTTGCTATGAGTCATCAGTTTGATGGCACCTGAAGACAGCTCTATTGTACACAGGGGTCTTGAAGGTCTCTTATTTTGGAGGTCAGTGGACAGTCCTTAGTCTATCTTAATTTGGGTGCTCAGCTTTAGAGCAATATTTGACAGACAAGCATTTTTCCCCAAAAGAGCAGATATTGCAGGTAACATAACAGTGTTGATCCTGAGACCCACCCTTTGGTACATGTATTTTGTTCCTGCTCTGCCTGCTAAATGCCTTTTCCCTTCCCCTAGCCGTCTCTGGTTTGATGGCCCAGGCCTCGGAACCATCATTCCATTTCCTGTCCCCTCATTTCCAGCCAGAAAATAAGACAGATTGCGTTGAGAAAATCTGTTGTCAGGGAGCTCTCCAGAGTACTAAAGAGCAACTAAGTCTGTCTAGAAACTTAAGGTGTGCCTGACACAGGACATGGTCTTACAGTTACTATATATCGGAGAGCTGGACAGTGACTAAAGATGATAGAAGAATTATTGATGCATTTGAGTTGTGCTGGAGAAGAGTATTGAACATGGCATGGACTGCCAAGAGAACCAACTGGTTTGTCTTGGAGAGCTTGAAACCAAGCTGCTATCTGGAGGAAAGGATTTTGAAGCTCCATCTCACATACTTTGGGCATGTTTCCAGGAGTGACCAGCCCTTGGAGAAAGACATGTTTGGAAAGATGGAGGGACAGTGCAAGAGAGGAAGGTTGCTATGAGTTGCAAGCGACTTGAGGGTACACAAGAAGAACAGGTCTTAGAGAAGGCCTTAAGTTCCATGGAGATGTCCACGTGTCTTGGCTTTATGAAGATTTCGATCCTGGGTGCAAAAAGGCATGCTCCATATTGTCAATTTTTTATAGTAACCAGACACTCTACTGAGAGAAGATAAGACAGGCATACACTCTAGGGAACATCCCCTTACGTCCAGCTAGAGCTGTGGTAGGTTTAAGGAACATTGTATTTCATTCTTAATGCTTTTTACAGAAAACCATTTGATTTAACAGATAATGGAGAATTTTATGTAGCCTTCCATATTTTGCACACGTGTAGAGAGGAACCCTAATCCATTGACAGTTGCCATTTGGAGCTTATGCTCCTTTTGCTGAGATTGCTGTTTGCTGACCTTTGGAAGTAGACTAGGATGTCTTTTTGGTCTATGTTAGCCTGGAAGAGCTACTGAAACCTGTTTAGTATCCTGACAATGCACAAGCCTCCACAGGCAGATGGGTGACAGCTCAGTGTGTATGAAGCACATTGGCTTGTGAATACAATCCAAGTCTTCCATCATTGCCAGCCCGTTCCTACTCAGAGGAACCCTGCATTGAATTTCCAAAGCTGTAAATCTTCAAAGATGGGAAACTGACCATCTTTGGGAGTGGTTGGTGTGTGTGACCCAACAAGCTTTTGGTGCACAGGGTAACCCATAAATCATTAGACAAAGCTCTTTGAGTATCCTACATGACAGGTAAAAATTCTGCCACTTGACCCAGCACTGCTCATTGAGTTATAAAAGTATAAAATAGCTAGGTCGTCCTTTTCAGTTGCTATTGGATGGTGGATATCCTTCCTACACCCGTTAGCAAACCAACCCCACTCATGCGTACAAGTTGTTCGATGTCATCACGTCAGCTAGGGCTCCTAGCAATGCGGTGACCAGCTCTGAACCTTGCCCTGTCCTCACCGTCCTCAGGAGTTTGTAATATACTTGAACTCTGTTACAGTCTGTGTGTCAGTCCATCTTGTTGAGTCTTCTGACCCTCCACTTGCCCAGGACAAGACCTTTTTCCAAGGAGTAGCCCCTCCTGACACCTGCTCCAAGGATGTCAGAATAAGCTTCATTTTCCTGGCCTCGAAGGAGCATCATAGTTGCACCTCCTCAAAGGTGGATTTGTTTGTTCTTTGGGTGCTCTGCCGGACCTTCTGCACTCTTCTCCAACACCCCAATTCAATGGCATTCTTACTTCTGTCTTCTCTACTCGTCCATGTTCAGATGCATGGGAAGCAATTAAAAAGGCCATTGCTTGCATCTGGTGCACTTTAGTTTTTAAACTGATGTCTCTGCTCTTTGGCACTTTGGAAAAGTCCTCTACAGGAGATTTTCCCCAATGCAGTGTGCCTTTTGATTTTTTGACTGCAAGTACAAGGGTGTTGATTGTGCATCTAAGTTAAGATGACGTCATTGACAACTTCAGTCTTTTCTCCATCTATCACGCTGTTGCCTATTATTGGTCCAGTGGTGAGGGTTTTGGAGTTTTATTTATTTTGAGCTGTCATCTAGATTGAAAGCGATAGTGTTTGATTTTCCCCAGCAAGTATTTCAAGCCCTCTTCACTATCTGCAAGTAAGGTTGTGCCATCTGCATGGCACAAGTTGCCGAGTTTTCCTTTAATCCTGATGCCACTTCTCAGTTCTTCAGTCTCCTTGATCATTGACTTTCAGGTGCATATGAAGCAATTGGAAATATCATGGCATGGATCAGATGGACCCTAGCCTTTAAACTGACATCCTTACTCTTTAAAATATGCACATGAGAAGATACTTAACATGAATACTCATAAGGAAAATATAAATCAGGACCACTTTAAAATAAAAGTAAAATTAAAAGTAAGGTTTTTATATCATTTAAGAAGAATGCTTTTTAAAATCCAGTGAGCTCACCATCCCTTGGTTATTTGTAAAAGATAATTTTAAATTGCTGCAGAAAAGAATGGTTAATGTGGAAATGTTCATGGATTTAGTTGTTGGCCTTGTAAGACATGGAGGTGGGGTTTGGTAAGTGGCTTTGAGTTGACTGTGACTCATGGTGACCCCTGAAAAAACAGATCAGGACTTCTCCCCATCCTGCAACATCCTCTTGATCTCTGGGATAGTTCAAGAAAACGTAGTAGTGTATCACATTACGATCAATCGGACTGCCTTCTTTTTACAAGAGACTTGGTATTGTGTTCTAAGGCGTTTTTGAAAATTAAAAAAAAAATCCAAAACTCCAAACATAACAGATCTTCAGATGTTTAAAGCTTACTGTAAGCTTTTGTACTTATTCTGGTAGCTTAATGGTAAGAAGATGCAGTGCCAACCCAAAGGCATGTGGTTTGAGCCCATCAGTAGGAGAAAGATGGACAGTGTCTACCCATGTGATCTGCAGCCTGTGAAAATCCACTGGAGGGTCCGCTGTGAGTCGGTTTGGGCTTGATGGTACATATCTACAACATATGCCTTTTGAAGGAGCTCTGGTGGCCTATGCTTCAACGAGCATGTGGTTCGAATCCACCAGTTACTCCTCAGGAGAAAGTTGGGCAGTCTCTTAAAGTATCTGAAAACCCTCGGGAAGGTCAGCTGTGATTCGGTTCAGACTTGAGAGCATGTAACAACAGCAACATATGCTTATTACATGAATATGCTAAAGAAGCAAGCAGGCCTTCAATTAGAGCTTGCTTCCTTTTGGGATGGTAAAATTAAATCAAAAGAGAAAACTAATTTCGGACCTGTCAAACAGTTGCATTTAAAAAATTTAATTGTAATTTGCTTTGTTCTCCCCGTGTAACATGAACATGGATAATACTAAGGAGGGGGGGGGATTCCCAAGAATTTAAATATTCTGAGATTTAGAACTCAACCATACTGTGTTCATGACCTCTTTTTACTCATGTAACCATATACCTGATAAAGGGCTTGATTTTTACATTAAAGATCGGCATTAAGAATCCAAAGATGCAATTGATTTTTCAATTTTATTTTCTTAAAATAGGACTTTGGGAGTAAAAATAGTAACAAAACCATCAAAAGAGATGTTTTAGGTTCGTGTGTATTTAAAGAACATTTACCCTCCCTTAAAATTCTCAATGTTCCACATAACTGAGCACGTCCTGTTAGACTCTTTGGGTATTAAATGCATCTTCTATCCTTGGTCTTTCTGTATTTAGCTTTTTGGGGAAGTATGTTTTTACCCACAGCATATGGTATGCTCTGCTGATTCAGTACTGAATGGCTCTTTAAGCTTGTTAGATACATTCTGTTGATTAAAATAGTGTGCAGAACAGTCAGAGAAAAAAAGCCGTCCCTGGTTTGAAACAAATTGTTAGAGCCCATCAGGTCACTTCTGGCTCAGCAGCACTGTGGACA